AACTCTCAACAAGTTCCACCCCTCTGCTTCCTCCCCCAGATCACGTTCTGTCATCCACTTGCTTACGTCCACCAGGTTGTTTTCCCTTATCTCACTTTCTCTCTATTCGACCCGTGAGTATCAGATTCTCCAAGCCCTTCTTCTTCATTACGTGTCCCACAAATTTCAGCAACCTCTTCTTAATGTTAAATATAAGCCTCCTCCTTGTTTGCAACCTCTTAAAGACCTCATCGTTGCTCACACGCTCGGTCCATGATATCCTTAGCATCCTTCTGTAGAACCACATCTCTGTCACCTCGAGTCTCTTCTTCATCTTTGACGATGCACATAAGAGTAAGAATTTAAAAAATTTCAGTTGTCTGTTTTGATTAGTCTTACTCTTATGTCCATCGTCTTTTCATGTTGAATTAAATAGAGTCTAATGTTAATTATGTTTTGGGAATATGTCCTGAAGATGGTCTACTAGACCGAAACGTCCGACGTTGACATTATATTAACATTAAAACAGCATAATTGCATATTAGGATTTTTGTTTGTTTTTTTCCGTATATTTTTCTTCATATATATATATATATATATATATATATATATATATATATATTGTTTAGAATTTGCTATATTTATTAGGAAATAGTGTTCCGTATCGTTTACGAACTGACAGGAAAGGAAACTGTTGGACGTTGACAGAGAGATAGTGAATAGATGGAAATAGACATGAAGTGACGGTTGCATTTAGCTGTTTCAACGGTAAAAGGGTGGGACCTAGATACTAATCTACTAAGACGCGTGAATTCATGTCGCTAAAGGCACCACGAGAAATAAAAACGCTCGTCAAATCATTTACTATGAAATTATTTGTAGAAAAGACACAGGGAAGCCACACCACGTCGGTGAGAAATTGAAGTCGAGATGCCTGCTCAGGATCCATTACATTACAGATCATTCTTTGGATTTTGTCAAGAATCTCGAGTTGTACAACAGGAGAAAGCAGACCAGATATGCCAACAGTAGCACTCTTAAATTCACGTAGTAGGTGAGAATATGACTGAAGACGAGATGCTTGGTTAGAATTGATTACATTACAGATCCTTCTTTGGATTTTGTCAAGAATCTCGAGGTGTACAACAGGAGAAACCAGACCAGATATGCCAACAGTAGCACTCTTAAATTCATGTAGTCGGTGAGAATATGACTGAAGTCGAGATGCTTGGTTAGAATTGATTACATTACAGATCCTTCATTGGATTTTGTCAAGAATCTCGAGGTGTACAACAGGAGAAACCAGACCAGATATGCCAACAGTAGCACTCTTAAATTCATGTAGTCGGTGAGAATATGACTGAAGTCGAGATGCTTGGTCAGAGTCGATTACATTACAGATCCTTCTTTAGATTTAGTCAAGAATCTCGAGGTGTACAACAGGAGAAAGCAGACCAGATATGCCAACAGTAGCACTCTTAAATTCATGTAGTCGGTGAGAATATGACTGAAGACGAGATGCTTGGTTAGAATCGATTACATTACAGATCCTTCTTTGGATTTTGTCAAAGAATCTCGAGGTGTACAACAGGAGAAACCAGACCAGATATATAACAGTAGCACTCTTAAATTCATGTAGTCGGTGAGAATATGACTGAAGTCGAGATGCTTGGTTAGAATCGATTACATTACAGATCCTTCTTTGGATTTTGTCAAGAATCTCGAAGTGTACAACTGGAGACACAAGACCAGATATGCCAAGAGTAGCACTCTTAAATTCATGTAGTCGGTGAGAGTATGACTGAAGTCAAGATGCTTGGTCAGAATCGATTATATTACAGATCCTTTTTTGGATTTTGTCAAGAATCTCGAGGTGTACAACAGGAGAAACCAGACCAGATATAGCATTAATATTCAATGCACGGACGAATGGTAGATTTATAAATGTGCAATATGGATTCTGACAAAGTTTTTGTGGCATGACACAGTGACCCCTCTTTCCTTGCAGTAGATGCAGCTATTGATACGATGTAGGCTATCCACTTCATGCCTGTGCAAAACATGAAGCCAAGGCGTAGTTTGTTGCTCTCCTAGAGTTTCGCGTCAGCCATGCTGGTGGCAAGCAGAAAATGTTCTCTATAGCGTAATGTCATAAAAGTCTTATAACATTTATCAAGTTTTGCAACTTGATAGTAGGAACAAGCCCCCAGTTTCGATAAAATGCTTCAGTGTGATGCGTCTCAACGAAGTCCAGTTCCAAGCTGGAGAAAGAGCGAAGACAGAAAATTGGCACGTCATAACCAGCTGTTTCGGGTGGCTGGAGCCAGACTGCACGGGAAGGCAGTCAACCTAAAAGACAGAAAAACCTGATTTTAAGCCTCCGTTGTTTTGTGGCCATATCCGAAACATGGAAAAGGTTGTGGAAATAAATCCAGACATAAAAAAAAACACCGAATGGAGCCCCGAAAGGTGGTTGGCTATCAACACTGTTTACTTTCTGGCAACTCCTGCAGCCAGGCCGTCTCCAAATGCAATGCCCTGTATTCTTTTGGATCTTGTTGGTACGTCTAAGCCGTCTATACGTGTAGTTTGTTCAGCGCACGGCCTCCATGAACCATCTCGCAAGCTTACACCCAGGAGAGATCACTCCAGTGTCGCTATCAAAGGACTGAATTTTGACCAAACAGGACGCTGCCTTTATTGTATGAGATAATCGAATGTCTAAGATGTTGTATATTCTTCCTGCTGTAACTTGTATCGTTTTGTCGTGTCTACTGATGCACATCTGGTGACTTACGATCGTTGTTTTTGTTTTGTTTTTTGTTTTTGTTTTGTTCTTTGTTTTTGTTCTTTTCTTCTTCTTTTTTCCACAAAATGATTGTGTACTGTACTTGGGAGGGCTGCCGTATGGCGTTCGCGTCTAACCCCGATGAAGTGAGTAACGGGCCGTAACTGCGATAATCGACGTCCATTCATCCCATCGTTAGCCGTTCACTATTTTGGCTGTCATTCACTGCGTTTAGCCAATGGCGTGTGTGCACTTGGCGTAGCAGACGACAGTAAGGTGCGTTGCCGGAACGCCAGAACAAGTATAACACGATACTCTCGTTTTCGTCACCGTCGCCATCACAGCCACGATCATTGCTGTGACTTCATCTTCTCCTTCTTTTTCTTTCTTTTATTTATTTATTTTTATTTTTTTTTTTTTGTTCGCTGCACCCTTCTTTCCATCCAATTCATCTAACCTGTTTCTTTTTTCTTTCCCCTTCGACGATAATCTGACAAATTACAATCGTCCGGAGAATTTTACTCCGTGTATATATTTTTATGCAACTAGTGATCTGGCCTCGATTTAAAAAAAAATAAAAATAAAATAAAATAAAAATATTTTTAAATAAATTAGAAAATTAGATCTTTAAACAGAAAAAAGAGAAGAAAAGGAAGGGGAAAAAAAGAAATATCTTTAAGGAAAATATTTTATTAAAAGGCTCATCAAACAACAAAAGGAGTTTTTTATTTTCTCTCTATTTCCCCACCCTTCTCTCTCTCCTCTCTCTGTCTCTCTGTCTCTCTCTCTCTCTCTCTCTCTCTCTCTCTCTCTCCATCACCACCATCCAGTGTATCCATCCATCTGGGGGTGACCATTGTCAGTGCGCGGTTTGGGGTTTACTTACCGACAGCCACTATAACGACTGCTACTAGTCCATTCTTTTTACCGAGCAGTTAAACTTCGTTACACAGTGTTAGCCTTTCTTGTCGGTACGACTGTCGATCGTATTTAGCTGAAAAGAAAAAAGGTGGGAAAAATATCTATCTATCTATCTATCTATCTATCTATCTATCTATCTATCTATGTATCATATACACATATAAACACATACATACATTATCGGTCACCAATACACGTACATAAATAAACGGTTTTACACATTCACACAGATATACAAGAAAAATAAAGAGTCACTCACATAGGCACATACTCTCTCTCTCTCTCTTTCTCTCTCTCTCTCCCGTTCGCCCCAAAAAGGCAAGAGCACGTCATATACACGTCCTAGAGCCACCACAGTTTGAAAGATAAACAACCGAACGCAAGCACACATACACAGAAAAACCAACATCACACACGCGCACACACACATACACACATATACGAGCGCCTTCATCTTCAGACAGTAACACCTACACACATAGATCGACGCACGCACACACAACGCATTTCGGGAGAGAGCGAGGCAGTATTACGAAGTTAACACAGATATCTGCGGATACATTCGCTCGCTCTTATTAAGATAGGAATATCTAGTTCTTGTTCGTTGTCATATCTTCAAATTTCAATCGACAAGTTTGTTACGCCAAGGATACTCTGTGAGGATAAAAAGCCACGAAATCTCTAACCGATTGAGGACAGTACCAGCGATTGCCAAGGTTTAAAAAAAAAAAAAATTAATTAAAATAAAATATCTAAGGTAAGTTTATCAGTCATCAAAAATAAAAAGCCGAAAAAAAAAAAGAAAGAAAGAAAGCATGCAAAAGAAAAACGTTCCAAAAAAAAATGTTTAATTTAAGTTAAAAAAATATGTTTTTTAAAATGACAAAATATGCTTTTTGAATCTTGAAGCTCACCAAAACAAAACAAAAAATCTATAAAAAAAAAAAAAAAAAAAACTTTCAATTATATGTTTTTGGGGTTTTTTTGTGGGGGAATTTTGTTTCTTTGTCGTCTCTGTTTTTTTTTTTTTAAAGTGTTTTATACATTCGTTCGAAGATTGGTTGAGTGTTGCAATATAAAACAACATTCATCAAATATAAATTCTCCTTTTCTCTCTCCATCTGTACACGCAAAGATTTACACATATACACTACACACTTATTTAACATGCATGAGTCGTGGACTTCTTAAACTATTGAACTGGAGTAACTAACATTTTTTTTTCCTTAACATTTTTAAATCTTTCTTCAGTAACGGAATTCTTTCTGTTTCCTCTCTCTTTTTTTTTTTTTTATTTTTTTATTTCGCCTTT